AACCTACAATCTCAGAATTGGAGGTGGAGGGTGCTCTTGTATGCTAGTCTTGTTTGCTAATTTCAGGTTCCACAGAAAAAGTGGAACATCTAATTCATTACTTTTTTAGATGACATACATATATCGCCTGTCTGGTTTTTGATTCCTATATATCCTGTTTTTAGAATTTGGTTGTTTTCCAAGAACATGTATATATTTATATGTACTTAAACGAAAAATGCTTGTAATCTGGTAACTCCCTTGTTATAGTGTTTAACATTGATAAGTAACTCCCTTCAAATTTATTTTAATTCTTGATCAGGTTTTAGTTTTCGAGATTGTTACCCTTTGAGCCTGTTCATGTGATGGGAGTTGAAAATAAAACACTGTTTTGTTATTGTCGTTGGGGCTGGACTGAGAAGGTGCTTCCAGATGGAACAACTTTGTATGTGGGAGGTATTACCCGCCAGGTTACTGTGAAAACACGCATAAAGTATAATGATTTTGTGAACACAGTTTTTGACCGATTAGGCATTGTTGATCCTTCAGATAAGATCTTGCAATTTACTGCAAAGTTTTGTAAGTCTACATTGATAGATCTGAGAGACCAAAAAGATGTCAATGCTATGTTACAATTTAATGATGGTTATGCTGATGTTTATGTATCAAGTTTGGTTAAGGAGCCTTATTCTAGACCGACATCAGGTAATGGGAAAAATGTTGAACTTCCTGTTGTTTCCGAGTCAAAACCAAATACTACTCATGTACGAGATGATGAAAATGATTTGGCAACCCCTCTGAAGAAGGCGCGGTGCATTCAGTCAGCTGGAGATTCCCTGGAAAGATTAAATCAAAATGGAGCAGATCTTCCTGAAGGGGATGTGCAGAACAACAGTTCCAAGATTGGGATATTTAACAAACAGGCTTCTAAACCGCCATCAGATGATGGAAATGTTATTGTTATTTCTGATTCAGAACCAGATACAACTCCTGATAATACTCATCTGGTTAACAAACAAGCTTCTATACCGCCATCATTTGGTACATACAATGTAAATCCAAAAGAACTTTACAAGTTCCCTCATCGAAGTCCCTCTTTCAAAATGACTGCAAAGGGTGTACCTGCAGGATCGTTTGAACTTAATCCTTATGCTCTTCCCCTCAATCCGAGTGATATTTGGTACCCTGGGAAAGTTAAGGAAACTGGAAACTCTAGACCTGTAGAAAATGTTTTGTCAGCAGTTCCCTCTGGAAGTAGAGATAAGTCGAGGACCTCTGAGCATGCTTCGACATCTCTGATGACTGGAAACTTGAACGGCGTCCATGCTGCTAATGGAGAGTTCCCTATGAGCACTGATTTGGAACTGAAATTATGGTTTGGTGAGACTCAAAAGTGAATTGATCCTCATCAGTTTCTTGGTTGGTGAATGGGACTTCAAATAATGTTGGATAGTCTCTTAGCTTTTGTTAAGACTCCTATTATATAAAAGTACTCAATATTATTATCCTTTTAACCAAAAAACAAAGAATAATAAATACTATGTAGCTTTGCCCCCAAAAAAAACAAAGAATATAATAAATACTATGTAGCTTGCAAGGAGCTAACTTGTTCAATTTGTCCTGTTTCAAATTTTGTTTCATTGCGAGTTTTTATTTCCTCTATCCACCTTGTATTATTTTGGCGATGGACGTTAAGAGAGTAACTTTCGTAAGCTAATCCAAACAGGCATTTAGTTAATATTGATGTTTGAAAAAGATAAAGAGTATTGTTAATCACTTATATTTGGGTTAAAAAGTATAAAAATAAACTAAAAGATAAAAATGATATGACCACTTTTAGCTTTTAGCTTTTAGCAAATAAGTTATTCTGTTCATTTTTACTTGTCAGTTATTCTAAAAAAATATTTGTAGACAATTTTTTTTTCTTCCATATTCTACCTTGAGCATTAATTACATATTTTTTTCAAATTACTTTCTAAGACCAAATTTTAAACAATAATTAATAGTAATATTGTGTTTAAATAGTCATGACAATAAGCATTATTTTCTTAATGGCTATATCAAATTCAAATGTAACAAATATATATATATATATAAACAAAAGTATTTTTTAAAAGTCAATCCAAACTCGGCCGTCCTTAGAAAGCCAATGAAAAGCTCAATAGAGAAACGATTCATTCTTGTCCTAGAAAATAAAATAACTAGAAGATGCTAAGGTACAAATATCACATTAAAAAGGAGAAAAAAGTAAAAACTATTATTAATGAAAATGGTAAAAAAATAAAAATGTCTTTAATCAATGTAAAATTGAAGAAAAATATCCTCAATTAATAGTTTATTTGAAAAATACATTTAACGTTAATAGTTTAATCCGAAAATTTTCATATTATTACTTAATAGATCAAAAATGTCCTTTATATATAGAGAGAGATATTTTAAGAACACTTTTTTTTTTCAAATGATGATTTTTAATTAGAAAATATTTATCCTATTTCAATTCGGGAAAAAAATTAAAAAACTAAAATATTCTATTTTAATAAGAATTTTTTTTATCAATGTCTAAATGAAATTAATGATGGGTTATTATGATCTTATATATATGACCTATTTTATCAGGTGCATGGAGTTATTCAAAATAGTTAAAATGAGATTAAGAAGAAAAAAAGATTATTTCCAATTTATTTATTAGTAAGAGTGGTTATTTTCTTTAAAAAAAAGAAACAAAAATTTGGGTTCTTAATAGTAATATTTTATTAGGAACAAAATATGTCTAAAAAGAAAAATATATTATTAAATTTATTAGAAAAAAATATTTTTGACCCATCAAGTAATAATAAAGATATTTTTGAATCAAATTATTAATAGTAAGAGCACTTTTAAACCAAACAATTGATAAAAAAATATTTTGAACCAAACTATTAATTTAGGATACTTTTATTCAATTTAATATAATTTAAGAATATTTTTTTTTTGACTCTTTTCCATTTTAAAAAGAGGTTTTTTTATTATCAAAATCATGCTTATGTTAATATCTAAGCATTGTAGCTTCGAGATAGCTTGTTATCCTTCCTTCCCTCCTCCATTTTTACTAGAGTGTGTGAAAACTGAATCGACCAATAAATTGAATAATTTTTTAATTTATTTATTCCTATTGGGTATAAGATTTTTTTGATGATTTTATGAAAAAAATTGTTGAGTTATCCGTTTGATTTTGGCTTTTTAATATTAGGTTATTGGGTAAACAGATAACCCATCAAGACTATATATAATAATTTACTACTTTACACCTACATAAATATTAAATATTAGTATTATCGGTTGGTAATGAGCATAAGGGTGTGCATCGGTCGGTTTGGTTCGGTTTAATGGTTTTCGATTTTTAAATATGTTAAACCAATAACCAAACCAATAAGATATTTTTATCGGTTTTTGGTTTATTGGGTTTTTGGTTTAGCCAATAAGAAAATACTTATAAAACAAATATATGACTTTTCTAATAAATTTGAAGCGAAAACACAATAATGTAACTTTACAAATGCTCATAAAATAGAAACAACAATAACAAACATGAAAAGAACTATACAAGCGTAACACAAAGAGAAATTAAGAGGAATAGGGTTCTTATTTTAGATTTTAACGTTTTTTATAATGTGAAATTGTGAACTCAGAGTCAATGTGAAATGTGAGTTAAAGGCTAAAGGACAAAGATAGTAACTAGTAAGGTATTGAGATTAATATATAATATTCATGTACAAGTAAAGTAGTAAATTACTAGTCTTAATGAGTTATCGGTTTACCCAATAATCCAATATTAAAAACCAATACGAACCGATAACCCAATAATTTTTTTTATAAAACCATTAAAAAACCGTTAACCCAATAACCCAATAATACTTTTATCGGTTCGATTTATCGGTCGGTTCGGTTTTCGCACACCCCTAATGGAGCGGGACGGGACAAATTTTATCTCAACCCACAAAATTTAAATATGCCCCGCCAAGCATAGGATTTTTCATTTTAACTTTTTGGTTTATCGAATATCGGTTTGGTCATTTTAAAATGGGCTGATAAAATGATTTTTTCTATCAAATATTGATTTTTAAATTACTAATCCACTATCAAATCTATAAGATATTGATTGGTTTGGTAACGGATTAACAATTATCGGATGGTTATCGGGTGGTGTATCGGCTAACCTCTAATCTCTATGATACCTTTTTTTTTATGAACGCACCTTAAAAAAAGATGACTTTTAAGCGGTGACAAGATCAAATGGATAAATTGATCCAGATTTTCCAACTGGTTGTTTCATTTTCATTGTCTAAAGGAAGCATCTTTGTCAATGACTCGATAAATAGATGCAGACTTTTCATGTACATATCCTCGGTGCTTTTCTAAGTTTGTTGACTTGTTTTTTTTTTTTTGATTTTCCGCTCGGTGTCCGGAGTCGACAATGGAGCTTTGACTAAATTTGAATCGCGCTCTGCAGGGCCCATTCGGGGGTGACGCTCCCAACAAGATTTTCTCCATACCCAGACAGTTTGTTGACTTGTTCTCTATTCTTTAAAGCAAAATAGATAATTATAGAAAAGTAAATAGGTTTTCATGGCTTTACGTCTTTAGTCTTTAGGAGTTAGGACTAATAAAAGAAAAACATATAATTACTCTTACCATGGTAAAATATTGAATGATGCTAATATGACTAGCATAAAAATGTAAGTCTGGTAACTCTTAACGGGTTAATGATTTACTTGATAAGGAAATTGAATAGTTAATTATAAAATATTAATCCATTCCCCAACCATTTATTCGATAATTCAATACTAATAAGCCAATTTTATGATTGATTTATTGGTTACGGTTCGATTTTGAACACCCCTACGCAAACCCGCAAAGAATCTCTTTTAAAAAAATCAACACACCCCATTGCCATCCCTATATGAAATGCCAAAATCTAACATAAAAACCCTATTCCTTTTCATTTCTCTGTGATAAACTAGTAAACTTATAAAAGTGGGACGACCACGGCGGCGACAATGGCGAGAGTCGTGAATTGTGAGTATTTGCTATCCTTTTATTACAATAAATAGAAATCTTGCACAAATTGAGTAATTTATTAACTCCTTCCTTTGATTTCTCTTCATCTCTAATCTCTACCCTTTTCTGATTTCTCCTCTTCTCCCTACTCAATTCCTTATAAAATCTGAATTCGCCGACAAATAGTATAATCGACCTGAATCAAACACCCCAATTAGGGTTAAATTTTATGAACACTTTTATTGATTAAATTGAAAATCAAATTGTTAATGATTGAAAAATCGATAAATCAAAAATGATAAGAATTATTTTATTGATTTAATTATTAATTTAGCATATTTAAATTATAAATCTAAATCAAATCAATAATACATAAAAACGAACCAATCATACGTACCCTTATTCTCTACTCACAAATATATGCAGTAGATTGATCCAACTTTTATTAGTACAAAAATGATGCGTTTTTGAAGTATTAGTTCACAAAAAAAGTGAAAAGGTCAAAAAGTACTGTTCCTTGCTTAAAGTTTGAAACTTTTTTCCTATGCTGGGGTTTCTGTCTTGATCCTTTTGCAGATGATGTACTCTGTAGTTTAAATTGCTTGTTTCTTTGCTAATTTCATGGTTAACAAACACAAATAGCTAATTCCCATTTAAATTGTCATGAGATAAACTTATTCTTTGAGCCCATTTTGAAATTTTCTGATTGGTGATAGTTTGAAACTTTTGCTTTTGTGGGCATAATAATATCTTGACCGTTTTGAATTTGGTGAAAGTTTCCTTCTTTGCTAATATAATGTTTCACAGAAAAATAGTTAATATTCTCATGATTTTTTTTTGTATTAGGGTTTCTTTGAACTCAGTTTGGAAATTTCTGATTCTTGGTTTAACTTCTCAACTTTTTAGATTTGTTAGTAATAGCTAATATTTTCATAATTAAGATGCTTGGTTAATCCTCATTCTTTTGAGTCCTTTCGTATGGATTGTATTTTTAGTACATTCAGCTTTGATAAGTGATTCTGTTTTATTTTATTTTATTTGTTGATCAGGTTTTTAGTTTTCAAGATTGTTACCCTTCTCTGTGGTCATATACACTACTTATGATGGGAATTGAAGATAAAACACTGCTTTGTTTCTGTCACTGGGGCAAAATGAATAAGGTTCTACCCGATGGATCCATTTCGTATGGGGGAGGTATTACTGATCAGGTTGTTGCAAAGACGGGCGTAAAGTACGATGATTTTGTAATTGCAGTTTTTGACCGCTTAGGTATTGAACCTTCAGATAAGATGTTGCTTTTTACAGTGAAGTTTGATAGGTCAGAATTGATACGGCTGAGGGACCAAGAAGGTATCGATACTCTGTTGCAATTTAACGATGATTATGCTCACGTTTATGCATCAAGTCTGGAGAAGGAGCCTGATTCTAGGCCTCCATCAGGTTGCACGAAAAAAGTTGAACATATTATTGCTTCTAATAAACAACCAGATACTACTCCGGTAGGTGATGATCTGAATGGTAATAAATGTGGAGTTTTATCCAAAACTGTTGTAGGAAAGCTACCACCTCATCAGGATAATCAAGAACCATTTGTCGGGCAAAACAATATTCAAAATGATTCCAATGCTCTGTTCCATCATCGAAATTACCATCGACATAAACGACTAACTTCATCTGGAATCCAGGAAACGTTCTGGAGAAAGTGTGACACTTGCAACACTTGGTACATGTGTGATGGGAATGATGTCAATCGTACTCTACGCTGCAAGACATGTACTACCTTTGATTTAAGTTCTCAGGGTGCTGCTTGTAGACCGAAACAGAGTCAGCCTGGAGGCCAGGATAAGCCCCTTGAATCTAAGCTCAACAAGCCTTTAGAGCAGAGAGAGCTTCCTAACCAAGGAATCTCGAGAATGACTGGGGGCAGCGCTGGGTTTCCACCTACCCAAACAGGATCCCAACAGGTCGCTGCAACGACAAAGGTGGATTGCAAAAGCAGGAAAAGGTATCGGAAGCAGATAGCTGAATCGAGTGAAAGTGATGATACTTTAATCAGTGTGGATTCAGAAGATTTGGAAAGGGAAATGGACAGAATCCCCCTGCTGGACAAACTATTTAGAGCTAGTAAACCTTGAAAGTGCAAGGTGGGGGGTGGGGCGGGGTGAATTGGTCCGTTTTGATTTTCTTTTCTTTAGTCGACTAGCTATGCAAGTGCATAGAATGAAAGTGACACCAAATGTTTTTATACTGGTTGGGATCTGGAATGGATCTTAATCTAGGCCCTTTGGGTTGCAAGGGTATTCTCTTCTAGACTTGAGTATCTTGATGAGTATAGCTCCTATGTCTACACTCTGTTTTTCTCTCTTCTTTCTCTTTTGATACAATGCCTTATCAACAATTTTTTTTTCTCTTCTCGTTTTTGAATACATGATAAAACTGCTAGGTAATACAATGCTTAATAGAAGTAGAGAAGAGAAGGTGAGATGATTCAGACGATTTGTATGTGTTCTTCTTCCTTCAATGGCCTTATTATAGTAGTAGCTGAATACTATAAAGGTCCTTTGAGAAGAGATGGCAACCCAAGAGTTTTGATCCTTGGAAAAAGGAGATGATTGATCTTATTCCAAGAATAAGGTTGTAGGCTAATCAATTTCAGTGATTTCGATTTGCTGCTTCCTTGAATCGAGTTCCAGTACTGCTTTAGTTTGTTTTTTTATTCCTTTGTTGTATCCTTCATTGGTTTGAATCAAAAAATAATATGCATGATTGCTTTCTTGTAGAGAACATGCTTTCTTCTTTAAAAGATTTTCAACTGATTTCCTTCTTTATCTCTTGTATCTTTAATTGATTCCGACCAATTACAGATCTTTGGTGTTTGCTTTCATAACTAGCTTATTTGATTGATAGTCTTGATTTTGTTTCAAATTTTGTTTCATTGTGAGATGTTTTTTTTTGTAACGTAGATTTAACATTTCCGCTAATGTTGAAGATTATAATGTAGACCTTAGAAAAAATTGTTTTAGTGTTTTCTTCCCCTCCTTCCAAATCCCAACTCAAAAAAGATTTGTCATCCCTGAAAAATGAGGACAACATGACTTACTGTGTCACAAAAATAAGAGGATGGAGAACTCCATACTTGTATCCTATTTTTTTCATTAGTCTAAATGCATTACTCCCTTCGTCCCATAATAACTTATCACCTTCCATTTTACATGATACTTAGGAAAAAACAACTAAAATGATCAATTTGACTAATTTACCCTTTATTCATATGGATGGATATCAATATAATTTATGATGATATAGGGCATACAAAAAGTATAAGTACTCAAAGTGGGTGAGAGCAAAAATACAAAAGAGTAATTAAGTATTTAATGAACTCTTTGAAAAAATAAATTTTAGGAACTTTAATTTTGTTTAAGCTTCCAAAGAGAAATTATTGGAACATTAAGCATGATGCGATGATATTAAATATAGGGGTAAAATGGAAAAATTCAATAATTTTATTTTGATTTAGTAAGTGATCAAATAATTTGACACAAATATTTTTAGAAAGGTGATTGGTTAATATGGGACAGAGGGAGTACCTTTTTCAAGACATTGACAAAGTAATTCTAACTGTTAATTAATGCAATTACCTTTTTAAGCCAATGAAAAGCTCAATAGAAGCACAAAAGAGAAACGATTCAATCTTTTACTAGAAGATACCAAGGGACAAATATCACATTAAAAAAGGGGAGATTTTAGTTTGTAAAGCATGGTAGAAAAACATACTTAGGTAAATATTTAAGCATCTGCAGCTTCAAGGTAACCTTTTTTTCCCCTTGTTCCATTCTTACTCACAAATATGTGAGTATACAGTGTTGTAGTTTTTTTCTTCACTGCAAACTTATTCGTTGTGCCCATTTTGAAATTTTCTGATTAGTTGAAGTTTGAAACTTTTGCATTATATGAAATTCTAAGGCTTATTATGCTTTCCTTCTTTTCTAATTTCATTTTCCTCAGAAAAAAATATCTAATGTTCTCATGAAATTTTCTGATTCTTGTGTTAAGTTTGAAACTTGATATTACGTTGGGGATTCCTTTTTGACACCCTATTGCATTTGATGATATTCTGTGTCTTATACAATCGTCATCTGTTTTTATTTGATGTATTATGATGATATGATGGACTCCCTTTAGATTTACTTTTTTTGTTGATCAGGTTTTTAGTTTTTGAGGGTGTTTCCAGGGGCGAATTTAAGCTTAAAAAATGGGTCACCTGAACCCGTGGTCATCCGACAAAACTCGATATATTACTTGTATAATTTTTAAAATATATCAAATAGCAACTGAAGGAACCCATGAACACAAATAACTAGATGGTTCACTGGTTTGAGTGTCAGTTTTCCACTTTGAGGTTGAGGGATCGATTCCCAGATGCTGCATTTTCACAACCTTGCATTTTATTTTATTCACAAAAGAGTTTCTGCATTCAGCCTTTTTTAAACTTCTTCTAATGACTTTTTCTTATAATAAAATTTATTTATTTTGCAAATGTATTTAATATTTTTCTTATGAAAAACCTATATTTATTATTGCTCAAATAAATATGGCCCCTCAAATTTGAAAGCCTAAATTAGTTGCCTTTTTTCTTAAAGGGACAGAGCTGCCCTTGACAATGATGCACCCGTCCTCTTGAAATTCTAGATTCGCCTCTGGGTGTTTCCCTTCTCAGCGAAAAAGGAAGGAAGGTTTTGAGTGTTCATGTACACTACTATATGATGGGAACTGAAGATAAAACACTGTTTTGTTTCTGTCATTGGGGTAAGAAGAATAAGGTGCTTCCAGATGGATCCACTACGTATGTGGGAGGTATTACCTGTCAGGTTATTGCAAAAACAGGCATAAAGTATAATGATTTTGTGAATGCAGTTTTTGAACGATTATGCATTGATCCTTCGGATAAGATCTTACATTTTACTGTGAAGTTTGATAGGTCCCAATTGATACAGCTGAGCGACCAAGAAGATGTCAACACTCTATTACAATTTAATGATGGTTTTGCACCTGTTTATGCATCAAGTTTCGAGATGGAGCCTTATTCTAGACTCCCTTCAGTAGGTGCAAAAAAAAATTGAACCTGTTGTTGTTCCTGATGTAGAACCAGATACTAATCCTGTACGCGATGATGAGAATGATTTTGCAATCTCTCTGAAGAAGGCAGAGTCTGACCAGTCAGCTGGAGACAGTAAACCTCAACAGAAAGAAGTTGTTGATGCTGATGAACAAAATCATGCTAGTGTAACTATGTTATGGATAAATTCAGTGAAAAGATTAAATCAAAATGGAGCGGGCCTTTCTGAAGGGAATGTGCAAAATGATTGTACTTCTAATGTTGGGACAGTTAATGAACAGGTTTCTAGATCGCCAACAGGTGGTACGGAAAAAGTTGAACTTATTGTTGATTCTGATTCAGAATCATATACAAGTTCTGATAGTGATCCTCCTGAGATCATGTATTACTATCCTAATACTGAATTCAGTGATTTTGACAAGCATAAAACTGAAAATTGCTTTGCAGTTGATCAGATCTGGGCTGTGTATGATACACTTGACTTTATGCCAAGATTCTATGCCCACATTAGGAAGGTATCCGGTCCTGAATTTAAGATAAAGCTCAGATGGCTCGAACCTCATCCAGAAGAAGATCAAAGGGTGGAGTGCGCATGGATCAGGGCAGACTTGCCTGTTGGCTGTGGTAAATTTAGAGTTGGGAATACTTATTATACTAATGATGGCCTTATTTTTTTCTCATCAAGTGCAGTGTGTGATGGGAGCGAGAGGTATGTACATTGTATATCCTAGGAAAGGCGAGATGTGGGCCCTTTTCAAAGATTGGGATATTTGTTGGAGCTCTGATCCAGAAAATCATAGGAACTACAAGTATGAAATTGTGGAGATTCTTTCTGATTATGTTGGGGATATTGGTATTCAAGTTGGTTACCTAGATAAAATGACCGAATTTCTGAGCCTTTTCCAGAGAACAAAGCGAACTGAAGTTGGTATATTCTTTGTAAGGCCAAAAGAAATTTACAAGTTCTCTCATCAAATTCCCTCTTTCAAAATGACTGGAACTGAACGAGAGGGTGTACCTAGTGGATCATTTGAACTTGATCCAGCCTCTTTACCCCTCAGTTAATTCAGATGATAGTTGGTACCCAGGGAATGTTAAGGAAGATCACAGGACTACAAATTCTGAACCTGTAGAAAATGTTTTATCTGCAGTTTCCACTGGAACTAGTGGTAAGTCTGATAATGCGAAGACATCTCTGAAGTCAGGGGACTTGGAAGACAATATCCATGACGAGTCTTGTATGTTCATTGACTTGGAGCTGAAACTATGGTCTGACGGGACTCAAAAATGAGAAATTTTCCTTTGTCAGTTTATGCTCCATTAACACATTGTTCATATCAGTTTATTGCTAGAAGATTAAGCTAGACGTTAACGTAGCTATAGGGAGGGTAACAAGGCAGCAGACGCAGTAGTACACATGAATCTATAGTTTTTGAAAGAAGTTGTGTATTATGATACCCCTCTCCCTTTTGTACACCCAAAACTATCAGAGGAATGAATTTCGTGTTTGCACCAGCAGCTATTATCATAATTTTTTCCTATGTTGCAAGTCTGGTGAATGAATCTGTTCCCCAGATGGATGCTCAAAGCCTGGAACATGTCATGAGGATATTATAAACTGATAAAATGTTCTTTTATAAGGCATATGTCTTGGCAATCTAAATTTGAGAGGCTTATTTAAGTCAAGTAAAGGTGTGTTTTAAATTGTTGATAGTTTGGGGATGAAACTTTAGGACCCGTTTGACCATAGATTTCTCAAGTAAAATTTGGGGAAAAAATTAGCAAATAGCGTTTGTCCATATAAGGTGTGTTTGGTATGAAGGAAAACATTTTCCAAAAAATGTTTTCCAATTTTCTTATGTTTGGTTGGGTTAAATATTTTGGAAAATATTTCCAAATCAACTCATTTTCCTAAATTTAAGGAAAATGACTTTTCTTCAAGACTTAAGGAAAACATTTTCCAAAACACTCATCCAACTTCAAATTACAATTTATTTTGTCCCTACCCTTAAACCACCCCCACCCCACCCCCAAAAAAATAATACAAAATTAAAGCTTGTTTTTAAAAAATGTTTTTAACTTCAATTTTTCTATCCCACGCTCATCCCTACACGTAGCCCCCTACCACGACCCTCCTCCAAAAAAAATATTAAAAGTTGTTTTTAAAAGATATTTCTAATTTCAATTTTTAATTTACCCCTCCCCCC